TGTTGTACCATCACACGGAGGTAAGCTTCTTGAGAGCTTGTCTCCAGATCGTGTGCCCCAAACTTGTACATGTAGACACGTCGATGGCGGATGTGCACAACGCGCCACTTGTTCACATCGAATGGCAGTGCCTTCCTCTCCGATCAATGTTAGGTCTAATCGAGGTCACGTTGGAAGATTTCGTGGTTGTCCATTCCCTTTATCGCCCGCCAAACCTTAACGTTGTCCTCGAAGAGTAAAAATTTTAAGGCTGTAGTTCTCGCTGGATCGTTAATAAAACCAACAGGCGAGGCCCAAGTATCGAACCCTGCGGTACGCCCCGCGCCACTCGAATCAGGTCGGACAGAAATGTTCGGGCGCTAACCTCCAGTTGCTGTTCGCGTAGAAAGTTTCCCATACATCCTAATAATAGATCTCCGGTGCCGTAGTACTGAAGTTTGTGAAGCAGAATTCGATGAGTCAAGTGATCAAAGGCCTTCGAAAAGTCCAAGTATCTAACATCGGTGCATGTTTCCACGTCAACTGTTTCGGCCCAGTTGTCACTTGCTCTCAGCAGATTCTTGGTACGTGATCGATGTTGTCGAACTCCTTGCTACCCTGGCGCAATGATGTCGTAGCATTCCAAGTAGGGCACCAGTACGTCGGCCATGATCGCTTCCATGACCTTGCGAAACGCAGGAAGAAGAGTTACCGGGAGGTAACTGGCAGCATCAGATCGACTTCCATGTGAATGAGGGTTATGATACTCGTTTCCACTTTGGCGAAACAATCTTTTCGTGTAGACAATGGTAAAATTATTCGGCAAGTGGTTCGACTAGGTGCATGGTTGTTACATGCAGTGCTTTAGGGTGAATGTTATTCACTCCGCTTTTCGTCAGATTTACGAACTTTCTCACAACGCTGATTCCAACGGGATGTCCGGAAGTATGCGCACCTCACGTTATGTGTTACGGAAGCGAATCAGAGACAGCAGAACGGCCTCTATGTTGTTAGCGGAACCCAGTGTCACCAGGAGAAGTCTGGGTCATCGTAATGCACTAAATTTGGGTGACGTCGGACCTGTACCAGTATCGTTGGCTCTACTGAAATGCCATTAAATGGAACTCCATTGAGTACGGCCGCCTAGAACTTGCTCTTCGATGTACTAGACTGCGATTTTAGAACATTTGTGCACACAATAGTTACTGCATTGTGCTTTCTTCTTTTGGCTACAAATTTAAGGGTATTAGTTGATACCACTCTAATCGCTTTGGTTGCTTTTGGAGGCTGCGGGGCCGTCAGATAGATAGAAAGTAAATACCCGTTTGGATTATGGTCGTGCAGCAACTGCAATCAGTGTCCAGCAGATGAAAAGAATGTTGGGAGCGAAAGATTTTTGTGAAGCATTGCCGGTCGTCGGATGATCGATGCAGACGTGTTCCAGAAATGATATAATGGAGGCATAAACTTGAGAAAATTTCACCGGTACAACTTATAACTACCGTCATACAAAAGCCTTAGGAACTATCGCTCTCCTGTGTAAAGTTCGTAATTTGTGCTGAAATAGACAATGAGCTGCTTAATATACCATGAGGACCTATTGCCACCAAACATGGCCTAGTGGCATAAGCCACCAGCGTCAAACCTTCATAGGATCGGTTCCTATTGGTATCAGAGGACTCGCATTACCGCCGGGTCCCACTAGGATGAAACGGCCGCCTAGTATCTTTCCGTATGGGTGGGGGCTGTTTGGTATAAAACTAATTGCAAAGTATCAGCTATGGATGTATAGAATGTCAGCTCATCAGGAGATTGCGGATAAAGCCACATGGTTTATTTGATGACGAGACGGGAAGCGCCAAGCGAACGAATGCTGGAATGAGAAAGATGTCTAGGAACTAACAAATGCGTGGCGAATGCCAGCGGATGGCCTCCGGTTTGACAATAAAAACTAGCACCACCAAAGCTTAACCACTTCGAATGTGTCACACGGACCATATATTCCCAAAGTCCCACATGAAACGATAGCTCGACATGAAACCACGGTCGCTATCTGACCGGATTCTGTCGCTGAGGTTTTCGCCCCTGTATAGTCAAGTAAAAGTAAGTTTTATCCACCCGTATGGGTGCATTTTCAGCCTTTTCACACTAACACTGCGGATTATTATGCAACAAAGCATCACTGAGTAATGACAATTAATGACAACAAACGGACATTTGCATTTTCCATCAAGCATACCATCGCGCAAGCGGCGTTTCACTCCTGTTTGGTAGATTAGTAAGCGTGATAGAAAGGTCATGATAGAGTTTCGATACGATGAGGTACGAGAATATAACATTTCATATTTTGTCTTTGTGGATGAAGTAGCTATAGTGCTGGCTAGAATATCGTGTAAATGACGTAATGAGTCATTTAACAACTTGGATGAAAAGTTGGTGCATTGCATCGGAATGTTTATTTCAACCATGAAATCTATGAGCGTTTTTTTACTTAACCGGAGCACCGAGAAATTTTAGGGATAGGACAAAAAGGATATGATTTTTTTAGAGCAGTCCTGGGAAAATAACCGGGGATCAGTATAACCACTGAGGGAGAATACATCTTGTTACAAACCGTGGAATTAAAGCACACAGAACGGGGAGCATTTTAAGTCTGGGAGCGTAAAAGAAGTCTTATAACTTACATGTTTCAAGAACATGTGTGGACCACGATATAGCGTATGATAGAAAGACTACTAGGTATTTTACGTTAGATGTGCGAGATGCGCTTTGGTCATCCACAATCACTGGAGGACAGAAATGTGCAAGGGACTGCAGTTTGTTGGGATGTAGAAAACAGAACGTTACGTCACAACACTTGGAAGGGTTGTGAGAGAGGGACCAGGAGTCGGACCGATTCACTAGGTTGTCTAACTCCCATTGAAATTTCAAGGAGTCATCGATAATTGGGGCGTTACATCCCAGGATGACGTCATCAGCATATTTACAGCCTATGACATTTTATGGAATAGGCAGACTTTCAACGTACGCAGTAAGTAGAAAGGAGGACGGGATGGCTCCCTGCAAAACACCACAATCCAAAAAACGTCGTAGTAATCGTATGAAGCCTTGTCTCAAGTCCTCTTGGAACCACGAGCATCGAATGATTACGCACACATCACAAGTCACGGACGGATTCCGCTACTCACTGCGTGTTTCACAGCTTAACTTAAACAGAACAAGCTTGTTGAACATACTGAACGTGATGCCACCGATCATCATGTGGCTCGGATCGGAGTTCTCGTTCGTTTTGTGCAGGCTACGGCGCATGTAACTGTGGTGCAGCATAAACGGGCCAGTGGCTCAGTGAGCGAAGGCATTAGACACATCGTCATTGTGAGGGTAGTTTCGAACCACAGCGGGTGAGTATTCTCAAGCCATAAATAAGATCTGCATTCATCAGATTCCATAGACGTCGGTCAGAAATGACTAATCACTTGAGTGCCAAAAGGGGATTATACGAAGCAAAATACTGATCCCTACTATTGACGCATAAAAGTAGTGGTGCCGTAGGAAAACACGCCATCGATTTGCGTACTTGTCGTAGGTTCTCATCCGTGACTCCAAACCCCTTTCCCTGAGGCAAACTCGTGTCATCGAGCTGCCAAGTTCACGCAGCCCACAATTACTGCTGTATGCGGAATCGGTCACCTTTTGACATGCTTCCGAAAGTCCGCGATACCGTGCACGACCGTTCGTAAGCTTTGATATATATATATATGATTAACAAGCGTCAGTTTCCGTGAATATTCAGGGATATGAGAGAGTACATCATTACTAACCCCAACAGGAACTGACACTCAGAGATTCATATGATTTGATACCACAGCGATGTCGAAAATGTGGAGGATTTCAAAGTGCTCTGGCTCCAGACCGACTACTCTGCGACCGTACATCAAGTTGACCAAATTTAGCTTGTCTTTGTGACTATTCTGCTGTATGCAGAAATCCTTTCCACCACGGTTTAGACTTCCTCGGACTAAGTCGAATCAAGAACCTTAGCCATGTAGACACTCTGATCAAAATTAGGTAACTGCCCCGTCCGTTCTCCAAAGACTTTAGAAAACATTGTCTGTTGAGCACTTCCGTGGGAACTTTTCGGCCATACTTTGGAGGTTGGTTGTAAAACTGAAACGATAAGTACTTCATTATCCCTAAAGTGCGGTATTCCGCAACTCCGATTGTTGACCAAAACAAAATCTCTTAGAGAAGACAAGTTATCCTTATGGCTATGTACTTATACTGGGCGCCGCCGATCATAGGGCGAAATTCTCATCTTCGAACATGCGCCGACCTCTTGCCGCGTATAAACTCAGCGTTGAATATCCCCCAGCGCCATTTATCGATTTCCATCAGTTTTGATAGCTATATGAGTACGTATTTTACAAAGTTGGGTCCATAAGACGCATACCTAGGGCCCGGAATTCATGAAGCCTACTCGCTGTTGACTCACATCACAGGCTGTATCAATATCATCGCCTTCCATTCACTGCCCAACCCGCACCAACCATCTTTCACCAACTCGTGCCTACCTTGTTGACAAGTGTGGATGGAGCTGTTATATACTTCGAGGACAGTTTTTCTTAAGGAAGCTCGCTCACAGAAGCTCTTCTATCCTGATTCAATGCCGTTATCGTTAGCGGAAGCTCAGACAAGACCAGCTCGAAGTTCATTGGCTAGCAGCCAGCCAGCATGAACCCATTTGCACACATTAGCACCACTATCTTAGTCGGGTCGATTTGTTATCGGGGAAAGCTACCGCCCCAGCCATGGGTTGTTCCAATCATGTTCTAGTCATGAAACCCAGGAACTGAGTAGAACTATCCACCTCACATTTTGTCTTTCATGCCTCTTGTGCATCTACATGTTTGAAATGCTGTGCACCGTCCTTCATATTTGGTTCCGTATTAAGTTAATTTTTACTGTTATCTTACTGGTCCATTTTACTTGTCTTCCTCCCGCTCCCCACAACACTGTTGTAGTGCATGAAATCCGCTGAAAATCGTCCACCGTATGGTTCCGTGCATCCAGAAAAACCCGCTCGTGGAGCGCACAGTCGTTCTGGAACCGGCCGTGGTGGCGGAGTTCGAAGAGGTGCTGCGCATGACCAACAACGAATTCAGCAGCAGCTGAGCAAATCCACTACTTTGGGCCAACCTCGCTGCGTTGCGGCCCAGGGAAGCGTTCAGTGTTTTCCAACCGCGTATCCTTTTGCTCCTTCGACTCAGGTACGAAAAAGATGTATAATTCTTACATAGCGAGAATGGGTCTGCACCAATATCTCTACTGTTTGTTAGACTGATTCATGTTAGAACAGTGAGGTTGACTTTTCGAGTTTAACTAAACATCTTGGGATCTCACTGTATAGTTCTCATTTCCTCAAAAAGTGAACCGCTAAATTTCCATATTCTGAACCCGCGTGGATCACTCCGGTGAAGCGTTGTGCACTTTCATACCACATAAGGTTTTGCAGCCCCTATTTATGGACCGTATAAACACTTTATGCCTTACACTGTGATTTGTGTCCATACACCTGAACCACCGTTCTCGCTAGATAAAATGCGAATGCCTGTGTCCGTTGCGACCAATGTACATCACTCCCGAGCAGGGCATTTCACATCTGAACTTATGGATGAGTTCCTCAGATACCAATGGTATAGCGCACATATAAAATTTCCTCTCTTTTTTGCAGCGTTTTGTTGCCACAGTGCACGGAATTCTGGATCCTAACGCGAACACGGGTGAGTGGTTTCTTTGTCCCCTTATTTGTCTCCACGATTAAATATTCAATCCATTTCGTTTGTACGCTATTCTGATTAAGTGACACATTGTCCAACTTTCCTTCGCTGCTGCTTTTAAGTTCTTAATGTATGGTATAGTTAGCGCTCCAAAGAACAGTTATGTTTGACGCGTTTCGTCTGTTTAACTCTTGGTTGAATTGTCTCACTTTTGAGTTCCTTCCCTCTCTTTTCATTTACACCGCACGGTCTAGCTTTCATGGACCTACTGCTTTTCCTGCATCCAACGAGACTTGGTCTCATCATTACTCTTGCTGGTCACCCAATTACTGATGTGTGCTAACCGGTACTCTGAACACCCGCTCTGTATACTCAGCTCACGATAATTACCTTTTGAACTGACTTGTTCTGTCCCATGTTGCGCTGTGGATGCTGAGATCGAACCACTAAAAATCTTAACTGTTTTTGGCTACTCCGTTTAAGATGATTGCATTATTCCGTCCCACGCTAATGGTAATCGCCTTCGTCTGGGGCTCGACGGTCGGTCATTTTCTCTGCTTCCCTACGGTCCTCTTATGCTTCCGCCATCAACGATACCTGATACATCAGCCGAAGGCTGTAATGGTTTTATTCATTTTTGTCGGGATTGCAGTTGTTGGACCTCTAATTTTGGGTTTTTTCCACTCCAATGTCATTTATAATTGTCTGTCTGATCCTTCCTCTGCAGTGGGAATGCTCTCTGTCCCCGGGACTAATTTGCTCAGTGGACTTGACAGTATCAGCCCTATGCCAAATCAGTCGTCTCACGGCACCCTGTTGGTCGGTGGTCTACATGGGCAACATCAAGGGGTGCATAGCAGCAGCATTGTGGCTAGTGGCCCCCCGACCACTTCCGGCGGCGGCGGCGGTGGCGGCCATCACGGTAAGACCTCCAAGAGCAAGTCAAGTAAACATTCACAGGAGCAAAACTTGAACGAGGAGGAGAAAGATGCGATCGTCATTCAATACGTGAAGAATATTTTGAATTCACAGAACAAGTCTATTAGGGTGAGTGGCTTCTCCAATACACGGCCAGTGCATTTTTGTCGTTGATCTCACTTTTCGCGGACGTAATGTGGAACCATTGAACGCCACTTTGACGACCAACCATATTCGGTTTATCTCACCTGGATTATGCTTTTGTTTCCAATGTATTCATATTTCTAGGTTATCTGAGTGTGCCGCTGTCCTCAACTTTATGACTGAACATTTGCGAGTGGACCAACCAGTTCGGAAGGGTGCCCAACATTAATGTTTTCGCTGTCTTATGTTCTACATGTTGGTATTACGTGACGTGTGATGGGTAAATGCTGAATTCCTACACGTCTTTTTCCTCCACAGAATTCTTTTGTAGCACATATGGCCGGTGAAACCATGCACGCACTATTTGTTTGTAAGCATAAATAGGAGTTATCAGACTTCGACTCATCTGCACCTGTGGCTAACTTTGTACGTCACCGAGCAACATTTTAGTTTGTTTTATACGTCATGTTGATCCGCTTTCGCGAACGTACCTCAATTTGCTTTTAAATCCTGTCCTCTCGTGATACTGTATCTATAGCTCTCGATAGTCACACCGAAGGTACTCTGCCCCAACGAATCACGGTGGATGGTCAAGCATTCACGGCTTTACTTCGACCCTCAGTCGGATAGTACCAACACGAGGCCACGCCTTCTTTCATCTTTGGGAGGAGTACGCTCCCGTCATCAGTTGGTTGGAGACCTCAAAACTCATTTTTATCGATCGTTTTCCTATTCAAACTGTCAGGAATCAAGACATTGTGGTTCTATGCACTGACCTGAATGCTAGACGTGGTGGACTATCTCTATTTAGAAACCGCCATTCCTGCGGTGGTTATTGTCGCAGTGATGATGGCGGCTGCTTATTTAAGAGATTTATCAACGCAATTCTCTGGAATTAGTACTCATGTCGCACCTAACGGAAGGCCACTGTGGTCGCGTCGCTACCACTTATCTTCCGCTGACGCCTCAATGCGATACTGCCGTTCTGTTTGTAGCGCGTCCCTCAATTCCGAGTATGTCCCAGTGCGCGCTTGCGACTTGACTATTCTTTCTGTTTCGGCAAAGTACCTTCCTCGAATGTAGCTTACTTGTTCCATGAATCCATAACCTTTAAGGCAGGATTGTAAATCTGCAGCGGGACCGTAATTATTATTAACGAACTGGTTAGAGCAGCTGGTTGTCACGTCCAGTACGAAGTACATCCATATAGCTTAGCATATCCAAGCATCTAGTAAATTTATGGGTATTCTATTGCCTTGGCTGATGATTGAACGGCACTCCTTGTGGTAATCATTTTCTATGTTTACGCAATATCATCACTGCCTAAAACACCCAGTATTCACCTGTATTTTTGACGGGTTCCGAATCCAGCCGAGGCGATGACCATTGATTGATATTTCGAAGAGTGAACCCATACTCATCTTTGATCGGGCCGGGTTTGGTACGTTTCATACTCACTTTTTACACAAATCAACAACTCACCTAACTAGTGTTAGTAGACTTTGTTTTGAATTCCGATGAATCTGAGCAACTGTTGCAGCGGTTTGGGAGTTTTTCTTCGAATTAAGATTCTGCGAAAACACATTCTTGTACTAATTATTTATTAGTAGTCACTGCAACTCGAACTTTCCGGGCTTTTTACGCGGCTCCTGTTTTATGTTACGACCCGGATATGGTCAACACGTAACACTGACAGCCAACGGCCACATGCCGTCTGCGTATAAGCAAAAGCCATGGTTGGTTCGCGCTGCACCCTCCACAGACTCCATTTACATTATATTTATTCATTTATTTTTTATTTATGACGGCATCCGTATCCTGATTTGCCTGTCACTGTGGCTTCCATAGGGACAGCCACAGGACGTCTGCCTCTTCAAATGGGACCATGGGTGGCTTGCGCTGCACCACCCACAGTTCCACCCGCACACTCCATATCCGGTGTAAACCCGAAGGAACAAGACCGGGAGACATGTGGATGGGAGCCACGTTTCCTCAACGGAGCTCAATATGCTCGCTCACATCATCATCATCATTCATCATTATACACGTTAGCTGCAGCTGGAAAACACCTCAGCTATTGTGCCGCAATACTAAAGACAAGAAGAAGAAATACAACAGTGGCACGCCGGCTGAGTAACGGATGGACATCGTTCCGGAGAGCTAACAGCTGGCTATCGTACCCTAAAAAGTTATATTATACCGAACGAATGTGGTCGTGATTGGAGGGGGAGGATAAGCAGTAGGGGGTGGGCAAAGGAACTCACAACACAAACGTCATTGGGGCCGGCTCCTAACCATATCATCAGGTGTGTCCAACCAAACGTGTTCATAGTCCTTAGGACCCCAACCGACGCCAACTTCGAAGTAAGGCTTTTCATTTGTTTCGACTAAGTGGTCGCTTGGCTTCTTCTCCTCTTCCAACCACACCCCCGGCACGCAAACAATGTACGTCGCTTGAGTCGTGCTGGCATGCGCAACACGTGGCCCACCCATCGGAGTCTGGTGTGTAATATAATGGTGCTGAGCGGTTCACTCGCTCTTCCTACATCAATTACGCGACGCCGAACACGCTCATTGCTCACGCGGTGCTCCCATCAGACATGAGCTAAGCTGCGAAGGCAGCGATAATCGAATGTGACGAGCATCTTTATTTCTGTCAACCTGATGGGCCAGGTTTCACAACCCTACAGAAGGGTTAAACGGACGGCTGCGTTATACACTCTGCCCTTCAGGACGAGAATAACGTCGCGTCTGCGTCAAATCTCGCGGAGATTGACAAAAGCGCCTCGAGCTTTTGCTATACAGTTCGTAATCTCATCTTCGATCCCACGGGCGCTGATATAGCTGCCCAGGTACTTGAATTCCTGAACGGCTTGTAGCAGATCACCACAAAGCGCTAGCGCAGGGATGGGTCCCTGCCAATCTTGGAGAACTACTTTGCATTTCGATGGAGGAAGGCATAGCCCAAAACGATGGACAGCCAGTGCTAATCTGTCCAGTGCTGCTTGACATGTTTGGGATCCGTCACAGATTATTACAATATCGTCCGCGTATTCCAAGTCAAGAAGTCGCTCACTAGGAATTAGCTCCACACCTTCTAGGTCTTGTCCAGAGAACGCTGTTTCCATGACTTCATCAATTGCGAAGTTAAAGAGGAAAGGTGACAGCGGGCAACCTTGTCTCACATCGCTGGTGATACTGAAGGGTGGCGACAAACTGCCATAAACCCTAACTCTGCCCGAACTATGCGCGTACAGCGCTTTGATAATGTTTACGTATTTATCAGGTACACCATTCTTCATTATACAGTCCCAAGGTGCACATCGATCGACTGAGTCGAAGGCACTTTTTATGTCAACAAACACGACAACGGTGGGTTGCAAATTAACATGGCGGTGCTCCAACAATTGACTCAAGGTGTAGATGTGGTCGATACAGCCCCGACCTCGACGAAACCCGGCTTACTCTTCACGAATCTGGCTTTCATGAGTGTCAGTCAGTGTGTGGAGAATGGCATACGCAAGCAGTTTAGAGGCAATTGAGATCAGACTGATCCCTCTCTGACTGCCACATTCCGGTCGGGAGCCTCCCTTGATAATCGGGGCAAAGTCGGAGCGGCTTCAGTCTGTCGGGACAGTCTCCTGCTCCCAAAGTTTCATTAGCAACTCGTGTAAATCACCTAATGGAACAAGTTCCCCAAGTTTGAACAGGGCTGGGGGAATTTTATCTGATCCTGCGGCCTTATGCAATTTCAACAGCGCGATCTCACGTTCAACTTATGCGCGTGAGGGCGGATCTAACGAGACGGCCCGGAGAGAAAGGCGCTCAATGCCCGAAGGAGAAAGCGATAACCCAGGTTGGTTAAATTGCCTTACAAAGTGTTCATCCCAAACGCTCCAAGCGTTTTGACAGGCTGTGTATCGGCTAACCACTCTTGTATGGTCTCGTTAACATCAGGTCTCTTGCTACCCGTTTCCCTTAACAGACGGAATCACTTATGGTGATTACCAATGGTAGCAGTTGTTTCCATCTCCGAGGCACCATGAGACCACCAAGCTTCGCAGTGTTTCTTTAGGCTAGCACATAATTTTTCCTGAGATTTTAGCGAGTCTTATTGTATTCGTTTTCAGCCGGAATACCTCGACAAGCATCCATAAGTTCCAGAGACTGTGTAGAGACCCAATGTCCAGTTTCGCAATTTGATTTGCCACATGAAGACATGCCTGTTGATAGTAAAGTTTGACGAATATGCGACCATTGATCATCTGCGGTGTTCAGTGGGCGCTTACTCAGCCCAGATGTCAGCGCACTTTGATACACCTTCAGAACACCTAGGTTCGCCAGCTGGCTGGTGTCAATCCGTTCACATCGACGTTGCGGATGTCCACCGAAACGCACCCAACGATGGGCGCAGACAAGTGCGTGGTCAAAGTCCACCCTCGTGCTCCAAGTCGAGTGACAGTTTTGGACACAGGCTCTCCAGCAGTAACTGATCGCGTTATGATCGATTTGCGTCCATGGTTGGTGCGAAGCTGGTGGGCGTCAAGTCACGCTTCTGCGGGTGCTGTATCGAAGGTTTGTGCTCGCGAGAAAGAGACGAGCATCTTCACACAGCTGTAACAATCGCTCACCGTTATCATTCCGGGAGCCTACACCATGTTGGCCGGCCAGCTGAAGCTCATCAGAGGACAATTTCCTGACTTGGGCTTTAAATCGCCAGCCAACACCACAGTATCCGTGCATCTTCTGTAACGAAGGAAATCGTGAAATTGCTGATAGAAATCATCTTTCACCGAATCAGTGCTACAGTTTGTAGGGGTGTAGGCCGCAATGACAAACAGGCACCGATTGTTCCCGCGCGACTTCATAGCATGGAACGAACCAGCTAATCTAACGGCGCACATCCGACTGTTGACTGGGATCCAGTCGATCAGGGCAGCTTCGGCCCAGGGACTCAAAACAATGCTGACGCCAGCTTGCCCTGC